AGCAGATATATGAATAGACTCTGTTGTGTGTGTTTTATCAGTGTTGGCCTCTATCAATTGCTAATCTTTTAGTCATTGTTCATGGTTGGTTTAGTGTATTTCTACTGGGCTGTGGCTCACCCTATATGGGAATATCATTTTCAGGTACAGCCAACGTGCTCCAAATCCTGAAATTTTCAGATTAAAAAGTAGCCCCCGACGATCAACAACTCTTTTGTAAAGGCCAAAGACGTGGAACTCACCCTAGCTAGATCAAAATCTAGAGAGAAGGTAAGATTTTAGAGAGAGAGGCTCTCAAAATGGTGTTTAGAAAAAGTAGGAGAGAGAAAGAAAAGTAAAAAGTGATTTAAAATCACCCAGCAGATAAATCATATACGTATGACCCGCTCGAGCGGAGAACACTCGAGCGCCAAGAACAAAAATCTGGACACGCTCGAGCGCATTAAGGCCCGCTCGAGCTCCAAGACACAAGAATAAAGCACTTCCGCTCGAGCGCGAAAACCAGTCCGCTCGAGCGTGGATTTCCCTCTCCCAGAACTTATACTCTGGAAGTACTACCCGCTCGAGCGCCCACCGACCCGCTCGAGCGCCACCGCTCGAGGGTAAACAAACCCGCTCGAGCGCAAAAATCACATCTGCAGAAGTTTTGCAGAGACACGAAATACTAGAAGTGTGTAATCCCCGCTCGAGCGCAAGAAGACCCGCTCGGGCGGACAGGCCAAAATCTGGGCAACTAGTTTTGGTTTCTAATCTCAACCAACCCACAACAAACCTACCCAACACATCCTATAACTCAAATACGAAGTAGAAAGGATGCAAACTAGATAATAAACAACTACCAACATCCACGGACACATGTCCGGATCACTGTTCAACAAGGGTAAACCCGGGATCGCTATATTAATAGACAAATGATCTAATCTAAAATGCCATAAATAAAATTGACTCGACTGTGAATTTGACTGAAAAGATGAAAGAGCAATTGAAAAGGTGAATAGAGAAAGATGTAAGTTTTCCACCACATAGAGGTCTTCAACTCTATAGCTGGTTCTAGTCTGTTTCTTGGGCAGTCAATCTTGCAAATAACAGACAAGAAAAAAAGACAACATCAAAATTGGAAGCATCAAGCTAACTAATAGATAGTAAGTTGACAGATAACTGAGGAACACAAACGATAGACAATAAAGTAATAACAGACATGTTAGATGGGAGGACATACCTAACAGATAAAATATACATACCAGACCCATTAGCAGCATTAACAGTAATAGGAAAGGGAGGGGGTACAATTCTGAAGCAAAGAAAAATGAAGAGTCATATGATGAGAAGTACCAATGTCAAAAAGCTAGTCAGAAGAAGAGATACATGAAGAGGACCCAAACAAACCTGAATGAAGAGAGGTAAGAGCGGAGGTAGACAAGGATGGTTGGGAGGTAGACAATATATGCTAAAATTGAGCAATCTAACCACTAAAGGAAGCAGAATCCTATTTGGAGTCGGAGCAGATGCAGTATAAGTGACGGTAGGCTAGAAGGTACTTTGAGTAGGAGCACGGAATTGAGACTAAGATTGTCAAGAAGACGAACAACACCCTTTTTGGGACATTTGTACTTCCAATGACCTTTTGATGGTAGAAAACAAACTCAATGAAGCCAGGGGCCCTTCTTGGGCTTCGTAGTAGCTTGAAGTTGATGAGGAGGTGGGGTTGATAGCAGTAGAGGTTGAGTAGGAGCTAGAAATAAATATGGAGACAGAGTCTGATTGACCATCTAAAGACGGGTTTCCTCAGACAAGAGCTCACGAAGAATTACATCAACAGAGGGAAGGGGAGACCGATAAAGGATGCCACCACGGATAGCCTCATACTAACGGGAGAAAGTCGTTAAGAACTGCATTAAACGACCATACTCCCAAAACTCAACATAAACATCTAGTACCTTGAGGTCAAATGGTTCCATGAGAGCCAACTAATTCGAAAGACCTGTCATTTTAATGTAGAAGTCTTGAATAGATTAATTCCGCTGACGAGCACCCTGAATAGTTGTTTCCAACTCATATCGCTTGGCAAAGTTGGATTGTTGATATATACCCAGCAAATAATCTCACACCTCTTTGGCAGTACTGTATTTGGGAAACATCATTCCAATACAGTCATCATAGAATTATGAAACTAGATCAGAACTTGGGCATTATCACAATTCCAAGTATCATAGGATGTCAGATATCATTTCTCCGTCGGGTTCGATGGACAAGGAACAGAACCAGAAACATAGCCCCATTTTTTTTGACCAAGAAGAAAATTCTTCATAACATTGGCCCAATAAGCCTAACTGGCACCGATAAGTTTGCATTTGTTGGCTTGGTTTTTTGTGTCCGACATTGTAATAAAACAAAGTTTATAGAATAAATGGATCAAAAGTATAATAACTGAAAGAGCTGAAAGGCCAAATTGTAATAAATTAAATAGAATAGTACCAGATGGTCAAATAACAATGAGAGGAAGAGAACCAGAACGCCTAACAATTAGAAGTCAAGAAGTTACTGGAGAGGAAATGAGCCACGAGGATTCAAAGCACTAAGACAAAGGGATCAAATGGAACGCTAACTAAGGAGAAAGGTAGGAGTTAGTGATGACAAGCCAAAGAGAGCACAACGAGCACAAATCCAAGTCGACTTTGACTTTTAGATTCATGGTCGAACTTGTGAAGCAAACCAGATCGCAAGCTGACGAGTGACTTCAGAGAACCAGAAATATCAAAGACTTCGAGAGACTGATCCAAATGAGCCAATTGAACTAGGAGGTGGGATGAACCAGATGATTGAAGCAAATAACAAACCAAACGGCTGAAGTAGACGATGAACCAGAAGAGATTTTATGAATGAGGCTAGGGTTTCAAACTTGGCTCTGATACCATGTAAGCTTTTTGAATATTATAGTGTATTCAATTGTATTCGATTACATCAAGACCTTAGTTTGTATAGCCCTAACTACTAAACCAAAAAGGAAATACAAAATTACATAATCACAAACATTCCTAATATAACGTAATTACAATCATTCCCAAAACAAGCCTAATATATATATATATATATATATAATAATAATAATAAGAAGAATGCCAAATATAGAATATATACAATATATTCTCACAGTACAAAAATGATTTATTTCTATTTAAAAAGCTAGAGAAAAGGATTTGGAAGGTTATTGCTTTTGTGCTTTCAATGGAGCTCAACCAAAAATTGATAATTTATGGAAGTTGATTAAAGTAAGGATAGCATTATGGATGAAGTCTGCATTAGCAAAGGAGTCAGTCTCAGTCAATGATTTGGTTTTCAATTTGTAGCAGTGTAGGCATGGTGCTGGGGCTTGAGCTTTTGCTCTATTTTCTTTGTTTTTATTTTTCTGGTTTGTTTCCAACTCTGGTTTTTCTAGTTTGTTGTGGGATCACGCATGATTGGCAAGCATGGGGTTTTATTGTGTTTCTCAACTTTGTTCTAGTTTCATTGGAGAGCTTGAATGTGGTATATGTAGACTAATTAAGTTGGCATAACAATGTTTAATTTACGAGTGTCATTTTTTGTTTAATTACTATCGTATAGTATCTCAAATTATATATTCTAATTTTGTTTGTTAAATTGTTAAAAGGTTTAAAAGTGTTGTATTTTTTACATTTCATTATTGTTAAAAAGTTAATATTGCTAATTTTGTTGTAACTTTTATAGCTATAAATATTAGAGCACTATTATATATCACCAAAACATTATATTGGAACTATTCACTTCTTATATGATTTTCTATTTAGCCTGTTAAATTATATGGATGTTACATATATACATGACTTTTATTGTATCAATATATTTAAGAAGTGAAATAAATTGGTGAAAAAAATAGTGGTGAATAGCATTTCTTTAAACTTTATATTAAAATATTATCCTTAAATTAGATTATTTAATTTGCAATACTAAAATATATAATTATTAAATTATTGAAATTTTTATACATTTATTCTTTAATTTGTTTTACGGTTATGCAGAGTTTGTTCCCACTCTCGGTAAGTTTCATGCTTTGCTTATGGTTAATAATTTTTTTTTTCTTTGGCTAATAAAAAAAATTGGCTATTATTGTTTGTTTTGTAGGGCATATATGAAGCACTTGATTGGAGGTGTAAATCCAGACCTTCATGCCATATTTCTGGTTGGATGTGGGACGGATAAGGATACAAACAAGAACTACTGGTTAATTCAAAATTCTTGGGGGACGGGTTGGGGCATGAATGGGTATGCTAAAGTTATCCGTAGTTCAAGTCTTCCTGATGGAAGAACCCCCCTTCTATCTAGATTGTCCTATCCGGAAAATGTAGAATCTTTTTTGTGTACCGAAGAACAGATGATTGAATATTGTTCAATTAGGAAATAGCAGATTATGTAGTAGTTCCTTAGGTGTTTGTTCTAGCAGATTATGTAGAAGCTCCTTAAGTGTCATTTTTAGATTACATAAACAATTTGCGTGATATATATAGACAGCACAAGTTAAACTGTTTGAGATTTGAGTGAGTATCCAAGGTTTATTATTATTTTTTTTTATGGATATATATTGTCTGTAAAGTTTTTATTTTTTATTTTTTATAGATGCATAGTCTGTAATGAAAGTTTAAGTTGGCAATGTAGTTTATAATTAAGTATTTCAAAATACCAAAAATTAGTTTTAATAAAAATATAGTTGGTTGCTTCTAGCTATTGAGTAATTAATTCAAATAACAATTCATTAGCTCCAACAATACTGTTAAAATTAATGTTATTGTAAAATAAAAAAGAAAAAGGCATTGAAATATATCATAAAATTATGAAATCAACAATAAATTTTTTATTACTAAATTTTACCTGTTTTTGTTAGATTGCTCTTTTTTCTTTTTGTTAAATGATAGGAGAGTAATTATAAGTATGAGAATATTTACATTGTCAAATAGACTACCAACTTACAATAACTAGAAAGTCAATAAAGCTTGACACAATCAATATACTAGTCCACCAAGCCCAAGCCCAAGCCCAATAACCAAATAAATCATCACCACAATCCCATAATAGGGGAGAAATAATTAACCACCACAAATGGTATCAAACTCTTATCTATAAGAATTGAACCCGAAACCTCACACCATAAAGGATATTACACAACCACTAGGCCAAATCTCTTAGTTAAATTAGACTTAGGTCAGATCAAAAGAACTTTTCACTATAGTTTCTAAGTTATTTGTCAGTGTCCAGTTATCAAAATCTGTCACAGTTAATAAGATTTTAAAAATTAAATTTCCCACTTTGGTGCTTAAAAAATAAATTTTCCCACTTTGATCCTTAAAAAGGATAAGTTTTTCCACTTTAGTCCATAAATCTAAACTCAACCTAATTTCAAAAGCCATCCTTATCACCAACTGTGTTTAATCTTAAAAATAAACTTTATATCAAATTCACATAAATGAACAATTAATTTACAATAAATATGTGTCATTCGAAAAATAAAAAGGTTGTAAATTGACTAGCAAAGGAAATCAAGTGGTGAGGGTTTAGAAGGAGAGAGACGATTAGTTGTGGTGGTGTGATGAAGAAAGAGAGGTGCTTGACTGTGGCAAGGGTTGAAAACATGCATAAAAGAAGGGAGGAAATAGGTAAATGAAGGTTCAAGTGTTGTGAAATAGCATTTGATTTAACAAATTGTTATTGCAAATAATGCTCAACAATGACTATATTTATCTCTCTCTCTCTCTCTCTCTCTCTCTAAAAAACCTCATTCCCAGGCCTCACTTTGGGGCCGGCCGGCCGCTGCCTTTGGCTATGGAGGTCGGCTGGCCCAGCTCTTTTATTGTGTTTGTTTGTTAGATTTCCGTTTAATAAACTTGATTCTCCCATTATTTTCCCACCGGTGATGTGCGGGCTGCCGTAGATTTGGCTTGGTTTTTTGGGGTGTTTTGGTGAACGTTTTGGTTGTTCAATGGGTCGGCAAAGAGGACGACCCAGATCTGGTTAGGTTGTTCACTCGGGCGCTTCTGTGCGAATGGAAGTTTGAGGGGTGTTCTCAGTTCAGATCTACGGAGGTGTACGCCGTCCAGTTGTGTCTATGGAAGATTTCATTCGAGCGCTTCTATGCGTATGGGAGTTTTGAGGGGTGAATGCCGTCCAGTTGTGTGGTGTGTTTTCGTTGTTTGGGTGGTTTCGACCATAGGTGTGGAGAATTGGAGATGGCAATGTTTCGACCATATGAGTGTGTGGGTGTGTTCGGATGCTTTGAGTGCTCGGTCGGTTCAGCAGCTTAGGTTGTAGCAGGTTTGCTTGGAGATGTCGTGGCTGGGCTGGGCTGGGTGAGGTCGTGGCTGGGCTTTGGGAGTGATTGCAGCAGGTTAGAAGAGGAGGGTGAAGCAAGAAGAGGAGAGTAAATGGAGCAAAGGAGCAAAGGAGCAAAAGAGGATCGGTGTAGGAGGGAGGATAGGTCACGGGTGGTTGTTGACGGCAATGGAGCCTGTATGGAGGTAGAGTGCTTCAGTGTAGTTGTGTATCAGTCTGCAATGGAGGGAGCTGTTTGGGTCTCGGAGAAGAGGAGGCTGCAGCAAGAAGGAGGTTCGGTCACGGGTGGTTATGTGTCCGGCAGTGGAGTTGTGTATCAGTGTATTTTAAATCTGCACTGGAGCTGTGTATCACGGCAATGGAGCCTGTGTGTCCGGCAAGTTTGGTGGTTGAGTGTACTAGTGTAGCTGTGTATCAGGCGTGGGGCTCAAGAGTGGTTTATTTGGCTATGTAGCACAGGTGAATATCATAGGTTGTGGGCGTGCAGCACAGGTGGAAAGCACAGGTTGTGGGCTTGTAGCACATGTGGGTACTGGGTGTTGTCAGGCGTGGTAGATAGCTTTAGTTTGAAAAATAGCAAGTGGGCGGGAAAGTTTTGGTGTTTGGTGTTGGGTTTTGATTTGAGTTGGTTTATGTGGGCAGATTTTGTGGGGTTTCTTGTATTTTTTTATTGTTAAGTCTTTCTTAACTTTTTTTTTTTTTTTGGTTTTGAAATTGTGCTAATTTTATGTGATTGAACTAAAAGAACACCAATAATAAAACTAAATAACACTAATATGAAATAATAACTCCCATTCAAATAACAAATATAGTATTAATTCACTTTCCCATTCAATTTAATATAGCATTAATTTTTCCACAAAATAACATAAAAAAAAAAAAAAACAATGACTATATTTATTTGGTATACTATGTGATGTGTCATTACAATATTAACAAATACAAGTGGTGAGACCTATTCAATAAATGCAATTATGAAAAATGATATGGAAAATCTAATATGGTATATATGTCATCGTAGCATTACTCTTGTGATTGTAAGAAACTTTTTTTTTTTAATTTTAAAATTAAACCATTTTTGGGCTTAGAAATGAAAAAGTATTTTTCTTTGAGGAATGTAGAAAAAGGCTCATATTTTAGGGTTAAAAGTGTAATTTAGTTTATTTCCATCATGAAAGTATAATGGTGCTGCTAAATGTCCTGGGTAATTCTATTTCCACACCACTAAACCTCTCAGTTCACACTATATTCTCCTATTAACTCAGTTCACACCACACTAAAATTGAAAAGTTTGATTTTATCTCACTACACACCCTTATTTTTTAAATAATACCAAACTACCCTCTTCTTCAACAAACCCAAACCCAAACGCTAACCTTAACCCTAGCCTAATCCTAATCCAAATCACTACCACCACCGTCACAGTCACAGCTTCTCGCATCTAGCTATCACCCATCTGCCGCCCATTTTCCCATTTCCACCATCAGCCTCGTTTAGCCTCTCACACCCTAACGTTAGATCTCTCTCTCTCTCTCTTGTTCCATAGTGGTGGGTCACGGCGATGTGAGTTGATATAGCGGTAGTTGGAAAGCCGATGGGTAGTGGGGTAGCATGATTGGAAGGTTGCGATAGGGGTCGTGATGGTGGCCAGAGAGGGAAGTCATCATCGTAGTTGCTCGGGGACAACAGATAGAGGTGAAAAGTCAGTCGCATCAACCATCGCATCCGCCATAGCTAGCCTTATCTCTTCTCTTCTTTTGTTTTCTTCAAACTCTAGATCTATGTTTTTTAGATCTCTCCATGTTGGTTATGGTCGTAGGAATTGTTGGTGATAGCGATGGCCGGCGGTGGAGATTGGACTACGATGGTAATGAAAGAGAGGAGCCGTGGTGTTGTTGGTTGAGGATTGCAGCCGGAGGTGGCGAGGCTGGTGATGATGATGATGTGTCTTGAGAGATTAGGGATTAGAAATTTGTCCAAAAAGGTAATTTTACTATGGGACAAAATTGTAATCTAAAAAAAAAAAAGGTAATAATGTATACTGAGAGTATTGAAGATGTGCAAATAGAATTTCCCAAATGTCCCCCACACATCAAAATTGAGCATTATTTTTTACTTCTAAGAGCATCAACCCTTTTCCCAAATCTACCCTCACTTTCGTGCGAACCTTCACCTTTATAGCCCTCATTCTTTAGCAGCACCCACTCCTATCTCCAGTTATCATCTTCCAGCCATTCGATGATCCATTTGCCCACTGCAACTCCTCATCAGCTACCTTTTCCCATCAGCGACCACCTGGTCTTAGTCCACATTTTTATTGGTGACCCTCTTTAGTAGTTGCCTTCCTATGCTGGTGCATTTCTATCCTAGTCCCCTTACTTATTAATGACTTTCGTTCCCACCGATGACCCTTTACCACAGCTTCCTCTACTGGTAACCTCAACTTCTTCTGATGCCACCCCTATCTACCTCAGCCCATCTTCGATATCACTCCAACCCTTCATTCTCTTTTGCACGCATAACTTTCTTAGCTCATCTACTTATAGCCCATTCTTCTTTATATGACATTGCTTCTACAAAACCCTAGTTGTTTATGTAAACCCTGAAATTATGTGTGCATGAGAGAATAAGAAAATGAATAGGAGAGATCGTATGAAGAAAAAGAAGAAGAATAAGAAAATGAGAGAGAGAGAGAGAGAGAGAGAGAGAGAGAGAGAGAGAGAGAGAGAGAGAGAGGATTTTGGTAGTTGCTAGTATGATGGGTTGCAAGTTCCAACAACGAAGAATTGCTAGGGAGGTTAGAGAGGGGCAAGGTGGTTGGGAAGGGGTTAAGTGGTGGCAACCGGAGTTGTGGTTGTAAGAGAGAGAGCGGTCGAAGT